CTGTGTTTTTTCCTCTGCTTGTTTAAAGTATGTTGAAGCAGATGGCCTGGAGAGCCAGAGTGGGGGAATGTGGGAGAGACTGCTGGGGAGTGGGCCAAGTGTGTGTGTATGTGTGTGTGTGTGTGTGTGTGTGTGTGTGTGTGTGTGGTTTCAGTTCGCGTGCCTTCTCCCTGCCCTCTGCCCTTCGTGGCGCCAGCTCCACTTCCCCTTCACTCTAAACATCTGGTGTCTGGAACAGCAAGAACACACACACACACACACACACACACACACACACACACACACACACACCCCCCCCCCCCCACACCCACCTACTCTTTTAAATACTTTATATTGTATATGATATATACAATATATAATATATTTACACTCTCTGTCTCCCTCTACAGGCCGCGCTGAATGGACGTCCACGTTCATCATTGACACACATCATTCGTGTGTGTGATGATCTCACCTTCCTCTTCTTGCTGCGGCCCTCAGCCTGCAGCGTCCTGGTGCACTGCTCCACACACTGGGAGAAGCTGACGCTGCCGTGGTCTGGACTGTAGTCCAGCTCAGCCAACTGGGCCAGAGACAGGATGTAGTTACAGGCGATCCGTAGGATGGCCAGCTTGGACAGCTTCTGGCCGTAGGAGTAACATGGAACCTACACACGGTCACGACAGTGATCAATAACATGCGTGATGTGATCTGTCAGTGGATGAAGCACAACACGTCACATCCTGTCAGAGCCCAGAACACCAGACCATCCACAGTCTGGTACTGGTCCGTGGGTTGGTGGTTGAAGTCCCTGCAGACCCACTGCAGGTGACTCTGACTCCACTGCACACCAGTCTCTGAACCGTAGTCCCCCCCCCCCCGCGTCCACCCAGTCATGACATAAGCGGAGCGTCAGTCTCACCTGTTTCCTCAGGGCCTCAAACGCAGCACTGATGGTGTGGACGCGGGTTCTTTCTCGGGCATTAGCCAGAAGTCTCCTGGTCTGTTGGACAGCTTTGACCTCCGGGTGACGTCCATGTCCGTCAGCACTGGACTCCACCCTCCTCTTAGGAGACTCCTGGGAGAGAAGAAGAAGAAGACGAAGAGCGCCTGTATGTGTTACTGCAGCGACAACAGTTTACAGCTGTGTCCAGTAGGGGGAGCTGAAACATTTCTGTTTAGTCTCAGGTCACTGTTCCACCTGTGGACACAGCAGTGACCTCACATATTCACCTTAGGCGACTGCTCCTGCAGCTCCGCCTCCTCGTGACACTGGGACGAGCGGAAGGTTCTGGAGACAGGAAGAGACGAAGCCTGCCCTGTGAGGGGGGGGTCTAGGGAGAAGGCCTGGTGGCTGGGTGAGAGGTCGGGGGCAGCGCCGGTGGATGTCGACAGGGGGAAGGTAGGTCGGAGTTTGAGTCTGTTGGACAGCGGCTGGGAGATGGCCGTGGGCCAGTGGGAGATCTCTGCACTGGAGAACGGAGGATGCTGGGACAGTTTAGAGGCCACGGCGGCCATGTTGATACCAATTCTCATGTCCAAGGCTCCAGTCTGAGCCGCGGCCACGCCGTCCTCTGACAGTCCCGTCAGGATCCCTGCCGTGGCGGCCGCCGCCTCCTCCTGTGACATCATCAGCTGTCGCTGCAGGGGCAACAACCTGCCGACACGACAGACCTCAGAGGCGGCTGCGGCGGCGGCGTCCGGCAGCTCGTCGTCCGACACGGCTCCGTGACAGCTTTTTATCAGGTCAGGCTCGGGGCTGCTGAACAGCCTCTTGGGCTCTCGCGACTTCCTCTTGAACTTCTTGTTCGTGCTGGGCACAGACATCAGCACTGACTCCTTGGTCAGAGTCGGGTTCCATGAATGAGTCAGTGAATGTGGATTCTTCATTTTCCAACACAGACGAGCAGCTCGGGTCCAAGGGAAAAACAACAAAAACACCTTTGGGCTTGGACTGTTCTGGATGCTTCTCTCAGTAGCTCCACGGTCCCGATGGTTCTCTTCCTCCCAGCTGGACTTTCAGCTGCCAACTGTGTAACCCAAGCTGCTCAACTGCACTGACAGGAGCTGCACACCAGCAGGTTTTCTGTGGCTCCACTCTGTCTGCAGAGCAGCATCCTGACTAATCCACATTAGTACACAGAGCTGTGGAACATCTGCTGTTATTCCACCCAGAGCTTCAACTCAGCTGCTACAACTTTCTCTCTCTCCCTCTGTGTGTGTGTGTGTGGGTGTCTGTGTGAGGGGGGGGGAGTGGGGGCGAGGGAGAGGGGGGGGGGGACCCGGCTGGAGCCTCAGATACAAGGCTGCTCTGGAGCTGTCTGAGCGTGGCTCCACTCTGTCTGCATAGCAGCACTGTGAATAACCCACACTGACACACACACACACACACACACACACACACACACACAGTGAACAGAGACTGGCTGCAGTGCAAATACAGCTGCTGGGCTGAATAATGGGGAACAGAACGACAGAGCTTCACCATCAAACACACACACACTGACACACACACACACACACACCTGTGACACTCAGCTGCAGGGACACAGCCACCACTTGGTCAACATGTTCCACACACACACACACACACACACACAGACCCTTCAGGTCCTGCTGGTCATTGAAGACGTCCGTCACTGTAGACCTCAGAGAGATGTGACCCAGGTGGGCTGCCCACTCTGACAGGTCCAGAGAAGAACTGGGAACCCAGACGATAAAAACAGTCCACAAGAGTTGGAGTCCAGCAGCAGAAGAGGAGGAAGAAGAAGAAGAAGAAGGAGGAGGAAGAGGAGGAGGAGGACTGAGGTGGATCCAGGTCTGTCCCAGTCTCTCTCTCTCTCTCCCTCTCTCTCCCTCTCTCTCTCTCTCTCCCCCCCCCCACCCCTCCTCTCAGTCTCAGGGTCTGTGAGCCTCTCTGAGCAGCAGTAGCAGATCAGTGGTTACAGGGCTGTGGGGGGGCTGTGGGGGTCTGGGGGCTCCCTCTGCTCTCACTCTCTGCTGGCGTCTGACTGGCTGGAACACACACACACACACACACACACACACACACACACACACACAGACATTCTTGTTTTCATGCAGTTAACAGGACTAACGTCTCTCCAAGGCTAAGCTAAGCTCAGCAGGGGGGGCTAGAGAGAGTGGGTGTCAGCGTCAGATTGGACCAATGTCCCATGTTGGACCACAGTAAGAGACAGAGTCCAGACGTTAGCTTGATTACCTTTAATTAGCAGAGACAATGGATGAGAAAGGAGAAGAGGCGGAGCTAAAGAAGAACCTAGTGTTGGAACAGCACCCCCCCCCCCCCCCCCCCCCCGCCTGGCTCAGGAGTTCAGGTCCCTCCTGGGTCTGAGCCTGGCCAATCAGAGGAGAGACCCATCTGGGCTGCTTGTATTTGGGCTAGGTAAAGCTCAAAACAACTGACCAGTACAGACGGTCCAGCTCCTGTTCCGTTTTCCCTCCTGTCCTGAACAAGATGCTGAGACACTTGAACTCCTCTAGGGGGAGACTCTTCTCTCTGTAGTTGTGCACCTTTTCTGACCGGGGGCCATAGTTTTAAAGTCACCAGGGAAACAATGTATCAATGACGAGTGACGCTGATGTTTTTATGATTAGGGTTTTTTCTACACTAGTGTTTTGGTGCAGAGTGACTTCCTGTGTCTGTCGCTCCACTCTGTCAGTAACTTTCTGTCAACACACAAACAACCACAGGATTTTATTGCACAACTAGTTTAGCTATGTGTGTATGAGTGTGTCCTGTCTTCAATAAACCAGGCTGTGTGTGTGTGTGTGTGCAATAATGGCTGAACACTGTCTGAGCGGGAAAGGGGAGCAGGCCTGCTCTGGTCCTCCTCCTCCTCCTCTCCCTGGTCCTGTGACGGCTCTAGGGGAAGGAGTGATGATGACAGACACACCCTGGTGGGAGGGAGGAGTCACTGGGTCGGTCCTGTCTGTCCGTCTGTCAGTCCTGCTGCTGCTTCTTCTTCTTGTAGCTGGGCCAGCGACAGACGGGGCAGCAGTGTCTTCCTGCGGCCAGCCACACCACGATGCACTGCTGGTGGAAGGCGTGGCCACAGGGCAGCCCCATCAGCAGCTCCTGACTCATGAAGTTCTCCAGACACACCACACACTCGGAGCAGTGCAACACTCCACGGGGCCACGAGGACCAGTCACAGCTAGTGTCTTCTGGTGCTGGGCCACACACACACTTGTGGCTGTTGTCAGGGTCCAAACAGTCGGGCTGGGCGCCACACGTCGGGCTGCTGTGGTCCTGACTGCATGCTGACCCCTGCTGGTACATTCTGTCAGGTGCACATGTGTGAAAGCCTGCACAAGGGGAATTCTCTCTGTCTGACTGTGAACTTTCTGAGCCGCTGCGCCGCTCTTCACCGGACCCGCTGCCCCTGCGCCGGCCTACGGACCTAAACCTCCAGGTGGGCAGAGCTTTAATGTAGTCCACGTTCACTAGTGGGCGGAGCCAGAGATCGGGGAAGGCCAAATGCTCAAAGAAGAAGCTGGGATCATCCTCCCAGTCTGACTGGTTGGAGGGGACCTGTTGCAGTGATGCGATGGGATGGAACAGGTAGGACGCGTACCAGTCCCACAGACTGGCCAGCCACTCCAGGTTAGTGGTGCTGTCCTCACGACCTCTGACCCCACAACGGCGCTTCTTTTCAAAGTAGTCAACCAGCAGGCCGTGGGCCAAGTAGGTGGACAGGAAGAGAGCGGGATGGGACGAGTAGAAGGTCCAGTCAGCCCGGACCAGACTGGCCAGTGTGGTGGTGTCGGCATATCGTAGCAGCTTCAGACTGTAACGGTACAGCGTGTCCAGGTACGGCAGCTGGAGCAGAGCCTGGGGGGGGAGAGAGGGGGGGGGGGGGGGGGCCAATGGAGTGTCAGCAAAACTTTGTCAAGGCAACTCCTGAGAACAACAGCTGAGCAGTAAAGTCAACCAGTAAAGACTGGGTCGACAGGTCTGACCTGGAACCTACCAGAACAGGGAGCCAGGACACCAGCAGGATGGAGTTGTAGGTTCCCAGTGTGCGGATTAGAACCACAAACCTTTTCACTGTTGCTCCCTAAGAACGAGCAGAAAATAAAACACATTCAAAATGAATAAACACACACACACATCAGAAAGAATACTGTGACCTCTGACCCAGGAAGAACAGTGTGGTACAGTGGGACTGGTTCCATGTGGACACCATACAACGTACAGGACTTAAAGAATCTACAGAAATCTGCCACCAGGTCAAAGGTGACGACCTGACCTACAGAACTACAGCAGAGTTACATCTAAACGTCTACGGTAGTTGAGGTGAGCTCTGGTGAGCTACAGTGAGCTACAGCGAGCTACAGTGAGCTCCAGTGAGCTCCAGTGAGCTCCAGCGAGCTAAAGCGAGCTCCAGCGAGCTCCAGCGAGCTCCAGCGAGCTCCAGCGAGCTCCAGCGAGCTCCAGCGAGCTACAATGAGCTACAGTGAGCTACAGCGAGCTACAGCGAGCTACAGCGAGCTACAGCGAGCTCCGGTGAGCTACAGCGAGCTCCGGGGAGCTACAGTGAGCTACGGCGAGCTACAGCGAGCTCCGGGGAGCTACAGTGAGCTACGGCGAGCTACAGCGAGCTCCAGCGAGCTCCAGCGAGCTACAGTGAGCTACAGCGAGCTCCGGGGAGCTACAGTGAGCTACGGTGAGCTCCAGTGAGCTCCAGTGAGCTCCAGCGAGCTAAAGCGAGCTCCAGCGAGCTCCAGCGAGCTACAATGAGCGAGCTACAATGAGCTACAGTGAGCTACAGTGAGCTACAGTGAGCTACGGTGAGCTACGGTGAGCTCCGGTGAGCTACAGTGAGCTCCGGTGAGCTCTGGTGAGCTACAGTGAGCTACAGTGAGCTCCGGTGAGCTACAGTGAGCTACAGTGAGCTCCGGTGAGCTCCGGTGAGTCCCTGTGGTAAATAGAGGAGAGCAGACAGAGGTGACCTGAGTGATGAAGAGATCCATCCAGGCCAGGAGGTTGATGAGGACCAGACTCAGGACAAAGAGGTCGTTGACCTCAGGCTGGACAGAACGTAGGAATGTGTCCAGGGCAGCAAGAGAAAGAAACTCCCCGGTACTGCAGAGCAAAGGAGAGGAAGGGTTAGTATAAGAGGGAGAAGGGTGAGGGAAAAAAGAAGAGAAACACAGTGTTAAGAAAAACTTTTTTTTTTTCATGCTGGTTCTTAGAGAACAGGAATTAAAAACAAAGACTAAAGACAAAACCAGAGGACGGACGTGAACGTTTGGACGTCAACGTTCAGGCATCAACGTTCAGGCAGTTAGTACACTACATATGGCCATAACTATGTCAGTATATGTTTGTGTATGTCTGTATGTGTCAGTATGTGTCTATATGTGTCAGTACTGTATATTTTTCCTTTAAATGCCACATTCACAGAAACTCATTCAGTCTCAACCATCACCTGTTTCCATAGCGATAGATTCCTTCAGGCATCTTCAGGATGTAGGCGGGGCTCTGCGTCACACCGATCTCTGATAGGCTGCTGTGATTGTCCCAGTGACGGATGTCCACAAAGATGAAGTCGATCCTGCCGGTGAACTTGATGGAGAGTGAGGAGAAGAAGGCGGGCGGCTGAGGAAGGTGGGCGAACAGAAACATCTTGATTGGGTGGGCGGGGTCAGCCCGCCACTCCTCCACCAGCTGCTCAGACTCAGTCAGGGTTTTGATTCGATGAGCCACATGTGAGGTCATCCAGCGGAAAATGTGTTCGATGGTTACGTGGCGTCCGTTGTATTCCTTCAGCATGACCTTACCCTTCGACGCCGAGGTCTGAGGAACGGACATGACCAGAGTGGAGCGCTGCCAACCACGCTTGACACACGACCTGAGGTGAGAAGACCGAGAGACGCTGTTGACATGTGACCCAGCACTGCTGCACCTCCTCCACCACTGCTCCTCACTGCTCCTCACCTGTAATCATGAGAGCAGTTGAAGGTTCCAGTTCGAATCCCAAACTGAGAAACCTTCTGCACCATCTTGCCCCAGCTGGACTCGGGCAGCAGAGCCTGGCGGTTCTGGGCGATGACCTACAGGAACAAACATTTCCAGACGTCAGTGAAGTGGAACTCAGTTCCAGACAAATACTGAAGAAAAGCAACTGTCACTCAATATTTTCATCACAACCTTTATGTTTACGTCAAATGAAGATGTGATTTTTCCTCAATTAGACTCTGACCTGGGGCAGAGGTTCGAGTCCCTCATTGTAAACAGTTCATTCGTTCCAACCTCATTTTCATTCATGATGCTGAGTCTGAAGTTTGAGCGATAATTTTGATTGGATTTAGAGTCAGAGACAAAGCTGTCAGTGAAGTGTGTGACATGTGAGGAGCAGCAAAAACAGGAGAAAAGTCAGGAGGCAGGGGGCGCTCTGGCTCATCCTGTGATAAATCAGGAGAATAAGAACATGCTGGGAGTTGAACCTCTGCTCTGATGTCTGCTCTGCCACATTTGTCACGTTTTCTTACTGATGCCGTCTACCTGAACCAGCCAGATCCCGTCTTTAGTGTCTTCCACCAGTTCGTAGAAGTGCATCTCTCCACTGAAGTGTGTGTTGCTGGAACCTCCTGCCTCCGTCCGCTCCTTCTCCTTCTTGATGGCTGAGTACAGCTCTCCGTGTGTCAGCTCTCCTGTGGACGACAAGAACCTGAGCTACATTCACCTGGAAAACGAAAGGTCTCCACTTTATAACCAGAGTAGAAGCTGCTGTGGGGGGGTTGACAGAAAACACGTCATGAAGGAGGTCATTTGTAGTGGAAGAAAGAGGAGGAGAGTTAGAGGAGCTGTGGTGCAGTTGGTAAGTCAGGAGATAAAGTGAGGAGAGGGTGAGGGTGAAAAGAAAATGAGACAGTGATGGAAAAGGATGAAGGATGAAGGTAGGAGGAGAACACACTGTGGCTGTTACCTGATCTCTCCACTAGTTCGCTCACGTCCTTCTTCTCTGCCAGGCCAGAGTAGCCCAGGCCCCGACACTCCAGGATGGTCCTCAGCCTCTCGAAGCTCAGAGTTACAGGATCCACCAGCTGAGTGGCGAACACGCCAGTCTCGTACCAGACCACAGTCTCGAAGATCCGGGCCAGCGTGAACAGCACCATAAAGTAGAGCAGCAGGAAGAATAGTTTGAGCCACATCCTGCAGCGGATTAAAGAGCGCCCAGCAGGAGCAGAGGAGCCGGAGGAGCCGGAGGAGCCGCTCTGAGGTTGTGTCACACCGTCATGGTGCCTCGGAGCTTCGTCTCTGTCGTCCGGCGCTGTTGGCTTCTGCTGACGGTGACAGCTAGCCACTTAGCTTAGCATTGCAGGGGGCCCACTGGTGTTCCTGGATGAAATACGAGGAAGGCGCGAGACATCGGTGTCCGTCGCAAACACCGCAACCTCGGGCAGTAGATGGTCGACAGCTGGGCAGCCACCGTTTTTACAGTTAAAGGAATAAAAAAAACAGACACTATTATGACCTGCTGCGATCAGCTGCTGTACACAAACAACGTCACATCCGGCTCCACCTCACACATGTAAACAAGCTTCTTCTTTTCTTCAACGTTTTAGGACATCGGGTAGTTCTGCTGCCGCCGTGTGCCTGTAGTCATAACTGCAGCCTCTGGTTATATGATATTATAACCATTATAACCAGCGGTAGTTGATGTATAAACAAAGAAGAAGCAACTGAACATCAGAGACACTTGTCACTGACCGGTTAGCCACTTTTAGCTCTTCAACTAATGCAATTCTGTGGCAAGGAAGTATGACGTCATCTATGGGCCGAAACGCTTAAACAAGTAATTTTGCTAAATGTGTCGGTCAACGTTAGATAATGAACTTTAAACGCTAGAAGAATTGAAGTGATCTCCAAAAACAGGCTGTATGAATTGTTGTAATGTTCAGTTTGTCCACCAGAGGGCAGCATAACATCATTGATACAGGGAGGCTGGACCGATTCAATCATTTCTTATTTTCTGAAATTTCTAATGTTACACACTTCTGTAACAATTTAATTCTCTGCAATTGTCTGCTTTAACGGCTCTATTTTTATTTAAGTATAATTTTCTAACTAGTTTTAACTAGTCCTAATGAGAACCCGCAGTTACTGCCAGTGTGTGTGTGTGTGTGTGATGTACATTATAAGCACCAATGCAGAACACAACCATTGAAAGATGAACACAGAGGTTATCACAAGGTCACCAACCCTCCTGTTACATTCTGTGTGAGTGTGTACAAGAAATGTGTGTGTGAGTGAATGTGTACGTGTGTGTGTGTGTGTGTGAAAGAGTTTCATTAAAACATTAATTAAGAGGAAACGGTTTATTGAATAAATCCTGTGTCTGTGGAACAGAGCTGCAGCCTCACCTCTCCTCCTCTTCCTCCTCTTCCTCCTCCTCGTGTGTGGTGATCAACTCTGCTGTCCCAGTGCAGACGCCTCTCTCTCCCCTGCACACACACACTTTATCAGGTTAGAAACATTCAAATCAAACTTTGAATAAAAAATAGATAAATAGGAGTGATATTTTCCCTCCAATACCATCAATACCATCAGTACCATCAGTACCATCAGTACCATCAGTACCATCAGTACCATCAATACCATCAATACCATCAGTACCATCAGTACCATCAATACCATCA